TTCCAGGTCTGATTTTGATTCCAGTTCGCACTGAGTCTTGGTTCTATTTTCACTTCAGCTGGAGATGCTGGCATCAGTTTATCCTGAGCTGTTATGATTACAGCTGCATACATCAAAAATTGCATTACGGTAGCTGTAACCATGCTGCAGGAAATGATTTGTCGTGTTAGATGAACTTCCTCTGCTGCATGAAAAGGTTTTTGCACAGTTACTGTATTTAGCTGTATCACGACTAATATGTTTTGTTTTAAACACAATACACGTGCACTGACACGTTGTGTGACAAGCACTGTCAACAAAAGTGCAGTAGGTTTAAACTTAGCTTTTAGGCTAATATATATATTATATATATATAAGATATTATAAATAGAATATCTTTTTAACAAATACTGGACAGATAGTGGTTGAACTACCCAAAGCTGATCTCAAACTAAAGTGGATCAGGTGGAGAACACACTCCTCAAGGAAAACAGCGCACTAATTAACAACCTTTAAGTTCCTCCTGTAAACTAGGCCATCCAAATGACAAAGTGTTAGAGCGTCTTACAAGGAAGTATATGAGAAATATCAACTGATTTATATCGTGATTGGCTGACTGCAAGAAAGTCAAGAAAAACAAGATAAACTTCAGTGCCAGGAAAATAAACCGAGGCAGACGTTGAGTTGATCATTATGATTTCAGGATTTACTTCAAGTACTGCAGCTTCAAAGTGAAGTCAACATTTTTTAGAATTATATCAACTTCACATTTCTAGATGTTTTGTGCACATTTTTTTATAAAGATTTATTTCAAATTCAGCATGCCACATTTAATATCTGTCAGCTACAGGGTCCCTGGAGGTGCAAAGGTTCAAAAGTAAATTGGATTGGAATGTAAACCCTGGAATCAGTGGACCTTATGCAGCACGCCTCTGTGGTTTGTATTGTTCAACTCAGCTTGAGACTAATTGGGGTCTTTCTGTGTGGAGAGGCATGTTCTTCTTGTGCCCACGTGGGTGCTCTGGGATTTTCTCTCTCAGTTTAAATACATAAAACAGTATTTAAGGGATATAGTCCCTCTGTCACCTTATATCTAGCTGGTCTAAGGGCACTGAATAATGGTAACCTATTGCTCCTTAAAGTCAAGATGGGTTAAAAACCTATTCAAGGCTTAGGGTACAACTTATTTGGCAAATAAAGGGAGTCTGATTCTCCCAAAAGCAATACTGAGAAGAGCTGTAAAAGCAGACTTTGTGCACATGAACTCTTCCTAGAAGTGTACTGTGCAGTATGTGTGTGTAATAGTGAGAGGAACCGCACCGCGAGGATGAACGAGAGTATGCAGCAAGAGACTAAGGGTGTGAATATGCCTAAACGTGCCTTAGTGTGTCTACATGTATACGTACAGTATATGTAAATACGAAGTATACAGTAGGTGTGTTAATGTGTGCGCTCTCACAGTGCTGTTCACTTCTTGAGGTTAGCCAGAGTGGTTAGTGAATGAGTTCTGTTTTTTTGTCTTCCAGTAAGTCTTGTTTTCATTCTGATGCTCTGCCTAAACGTTCACGTACTTTAGATCCACAAATGACCCAGCCTTAGCTTATACAGGTATGCACGTGTCACTGCGGTAAAGAGTACAATTCTCCTTCCAACCACAGTGACCGAGTTTGAGATACAATTTCTTTTAAAGCTCAGTAGTGCTATTTTCTTAGTATTAGTAGCATATTGTCCAGGTTAGAGTTCCTTTTTTAAATTGATTTGGGATGTGTGTGCACAATCAGTAATAGCTTATCAGAGTTATTTTTACAAGAGATAAATGCTTGTACAGACTTATAGATTTATGTAGATCAGTAAATATGATGATGCCTCAATTTGTTTTTTGTTTTTTCAAAGTTTCCACACTATCATAGTTTAGTAACTCCTGGGAAGGAATCTGATATACAGGTGTCATTTCTGGAGAAGTTTCCTGGAAAGGACAGTGCAATTTGCATACAAAGCAAACAACTGTTCATTGTTCATATTCGTTTAACCTGTAAAATATAGATACCTATAAAATAAAAAAAATTACAAAATCTAGATAAATGAATGTGACTTAAGTTAGTGAACATCATGGTGGATGTTTATATTATAACATAATGGGACAGTTTTCATCAACTTCAGCCAGATCACTGTACAGTGAATGTATACACTGCAGTTGTTAGCTCTTGATATATCTAAATTAACTAATATTCTAAGAAGGATATAAACACAGGATCTAACACAAACAAACATTTGGCTCTTGTTTTCAAGTTACCAGCAATCTAGAGAAAGACTTCCTGTTCACATGCTCAAACAGTGTGCTTCTTTGTAATATGAGGATATTCCAACAGAGCTATGGTGAACTGCATAAACAAACTGTAACACTGTGGGAAGACATGCAAACCAAAAGAGATTTCACTAATGACTCTACAGCTGTAACTGAAACAGGGAAATGTCAGATAAACATGGCAGTCACCTGACAGACTACACAGTCACATCAACAATTCCACCCAGTCACGTAAGCCTAAATAACTTCTATATTCATGGATCAGCAGTGCAAACAAAACAAGAAATCCTGCTTTCTGATTGTGGGCCGATAGAGGGGAAAATGGGCATGGTCAGATTGCCATGGTGACGGGGGGGGGGAAGGAAAAGGGGGTGGAGAGTGTGAGGTGGCAGATTAGTCATGATGACCCCGTGACTTACATTTTCTCTGCATGCCTCACATGGCAGGGAGGGTCCAAAACCAGAAAAGACAGCTGAGAAAGCACAACACAAGCACAAAACGTCTCTCTCACTCACAAAAGCAACATAACATTCCACGTCCCCACTGCCAGGAAACCAAACTTGCTTGTGAACGCACCAAAAAGGAAGGAGCTCGTTTAAACTTAACCACTTAAAATGACATCTTTGAAGCCATACTCCTGTCTACTTGATATGTAGACAGATGTGTAAATCCAAATTAGGAACTCTCGCAATGACTTGTAAGGAGGAGAGGTATAGCCAGTCATGCTAACACGGGCAGATGGAAAACTAGGGAAACCCCACGTGAATCACAAAATCCATGCAAGCAAAACAACACACGTAATTAGGATAACATATGATTTTCTTGTGTATAAAGGCCTTCAGATATCTTCTGTTCTTGAAATCCCCCTGCCTAAAATACTACTACAAAACATTTTCATATAACTTTTTACGATATAGCTCTGAAACTCATCCACACACCTAGATACAAACATGAAGTGAAACTCTTGTAGTATTTCTGTCTACTTGTGCTTCCTTTGAAGCAACAATAAGATTTCTACTAGCGGGGGTTGACAAAGTGCAACAAAATCTGCATATACAAATAGGTCTAATAAAGGCTCTCAATGTACACCAAACGTTAGCAAACCACTAATACCCCATGACCTTTTAAACTGAGGGTGACTGTTTTAGAAATTGTGTTAGCAAGTGTTCCCGTGCCAGCCACATAATATTGTGCACCTGTAAAGACCTAATTTAATTTGGCAAAACCTTGCTCTACATCCAATTGAATGAAGTGTAAAAATATAGCCCAGAGCTGTAAGAAAAAAGAAATAAGTTTTCTCATAATTTTGCTCCCAATTCACTGGGTTTCATTATCCAGTGAAGTGTTTTTATTTATAGAAAATAAACTATACACTGTAAGGTTTCTGTTAGTGGTAAATTTAATACTGTAGGGTGCAATTTCAGTTCTGTTTTCAATTTAAAAAGGGTCAACTCACCGTACGTACAAAAATATATATTTTTTCCACTAACTCCTACTGATGTATAGCTATGCAGATAGCAGTAGCTTCTGTTTTATCTGCTGGGATTTTGAGATATTTGTCTCTGAGGTGAATGGAATTTCATTTGTGAAGCTCAAAGCACAGAAAAAATTCAATGGGAACTTGTCTTTCCACAAAACTATGCCTAGGAGACATTGGATAAACCACAGACCTGCCTGTCAACAGTTTTCATTAGAACTATTGTTAGTGTTGTTTAAATTTACGACTTCTCTTTGAACAAGAAATACATGAGGAAACATGTGGAGACATAAAACACAGGTCAATAGCAGTTTAAATAAAATAAGATATAATAACTGCCATCACACCTTAGCACTGGGGCGCTTATTATTTACTGCTTTGGCCTTGTGTTGAACCAAGAAAAACTGATAGCTATGCCCTTTCTACCATCAGACAGGCTAATTATGAGGGGGATGCTACCAGTCTGCTTGGTAACCCATGACTGCCCTTCTTTAAAACTCATCATCATAGCATATTTTTAATATGGTTTCATAATGACACTCATCACCTCAACCCACATAGGCGTCAGATTAGAAACTCACTGGTCTGTGTCATTACAATTGCCTCCTATTCATATGATTCTAACTATAAGGAATTGGCTGGATGGACACAAGAGTGCAGAGAAATAGAAAATGCAAATGATGGCTAGTAACCATGTGGAATGGTGAGGTAAATATATAATATATACGAGTAAGTAGACATCCTGAAACGAATGTCCTAGTCTTATAGTTGTATTTGCCCAGGTTGGGGATTATCCCAAAGAAACTAAAATTATTCTCAAGAACACTTTGTGTACTCATTCCAAGCAGGGCTAAAAATGACAAAAGATTCTGGGTTTATCCAACTGTGATTTCTGAAGATGCGGTGCATAAGTGTGGAAGAGTGTTAAATTACAATATCCTATTAATGGCAGGCCTCAACAGGAATGGGGCAGGTACTGCTGTAGTTGTCTAGACAACACAGGCCTTTAATCAGGCTGCTCTATGGTAAATTAAGCCAAGCTGAACACACATGAAAGACAGGATAAAAGAAGTGGGTGGGAAGCATGGTCCTTCCCTATGACAAGCAAGTAACCGAGGGACAGATCTTTGAGTAGATATGGGCGTTTTCATACTGGCTCTTGTAGGTGCTTCAATTTGTCAGTGTTACTTATGCAAAATATAAACATGCCGACATGTGAGGCAGTTACGTGAAACAAACCTGGGGGAAATCTCCATTCCTAGGGAGGTTGAGGTTGGGAAAGTCCATATCCTGGAATCCAGGGTAAATGTCCATGTGCACATCCGGAGTGGTGGTGGTAGTGCTGCTGTTCAAGTGGTATTGCCTGGAGGGAAAAGAATACGCTTAGTTAATTTAGTTATTTGTTTAACTGCTACTTATCTAAGTGAAACTGACACTTGCCGTTTCTTTGCCCTTATACAGTTACCCAAATATACACTGTACAGCTGCCAAGTACAACCAAAGCCTTCCAATTCTGCGCAATAAGCAGCTCCAGTAGAGAAATGAAAGTGGCACTAAAAAGCATCTCATGTGATCAAGCGGTCAAGTGGGACAAGTCAGAATGGAGGATGTTGTTTTCTTAAGATGGTAATATTAGCAATATAATACTTAAATACAATGATTTAACGCTATACTACTCATTTCGTCATGCAATTCCAACACATCATGCAAACTTACCAGATGAGAACACTTTTGGTTTCGTTTTGCTGACGCCATATTTAATTACTGACTGACGCCATTGAGTAAAGCTATTTGCTCTTGAATCTTTCGAAATAAGTGTCTACATCTGCATCCAGGTGTTTAAAGCAAACTAAATAACAATTTCAACTGTCAAAATACAAGAAGGATAAGGCAAAAAGAGTTTGAAGTTTGAATAGGGGAGGGGAGAGAGAGAGAGGGCAAAGTCTACAGAAAGTCAAGGAAAGTATATTGAGAACAGCTCCTACCCGCTTTGAAGATCAAAAGTCTGGCTTTCATTAACACCAACCATTCTCCATTAGCCCAGTCATAATCAGTCAGACACAGGTCCACAGACTATGTATTCCCGACATGAGATATTTCCAGTTTCTTGATGAGCGCAAGTCATCATAACGCAATAACTAATGTACTGATAGAGGTGGACGCACACTCAAAACAAAAGCAAAACTAAACCTGTGTGGAGGTGGAAGTGTAACTGTACCATCCCATGTTCCTCTTATCCAATCATGTGCCAGGGCTCAGGCTCAGAGGGATTGAGCTTGGCCAAAGCTATTCACAGGATTTGGCTCTGTGTCCTCAACCACGGGCCAGGGATCAGTGAGACTGATTGATTTAAGTTCAAAACACAACAAGAGGATGAAAGGGCCAGTCTATGAAAAACATGGTTCCTGTGATTTTTTTTTATTTGTTGAATTTTTGAACAACACGCAGAAAAAAAAATCAATATTTAACTGTGTTCATTTTCAAATTCAAAGTATCTGTTTTCAAAGTTGCTTTTATTCGGGTTTGTACTGCTACAAAAGTGATCACAAATGCACAAATGTTTGTTTAAAAAATAAAAAATCTAACTTTTTATGATATTTGTATGGTTCACTTTTCAACAATCAAGCAAATAAATAATTCAATGTGGCAATAAACTTTAAGCCTACACATTGGGGGGCGGAATGATCTATTGTAGTCGCGATGTGCACCTTAATCAGAATAAAATGGTAATGAGATCATACTGGTAACGAATCTGTTTATTTCTCAGAAAGATCGTGTGCTGTGAATGGTAACAATCATCTGCGCTGGAAATCCCCTTCCTGGCCCTTCATCCAACACTGATATGACAGTGATATTATTACAGCAGAAGTCTTGGCAGGCCGGCATCAGCTGCTTTCCAACAACACAAAGCTGGTTAGGGGCTCTCAGCCAAAGGAGCTGATTGACTTACTGTTTGTGTACATGTAGCCTTCCCATACTACCTAACCTGTAACTGTGTACAGATAATCATTTCAGCCATGTTATTGTTTAACAGTCTCTTATTTGAACTTTAAAAAAACCACACTGGCCAAGCGGTGTGTGTGTGTGTTCTTTACACCATATATTAGCAGGGACAATACATAAATGTAGGACTTGAACAGGATACAGATTTACTTGGAAAGATAAACTTACTATTATTATCTTATTAAAGCCAAATTCTACTAAAATACACACCTTTTATTTATTGGTGACGATAACAACAGTAAGAAAATTAAGAAGTGCCCAATTTGTAGGACAGGATTTCTTTCATTGTTTTATATAGAGTTAGTCCATTAGAATCTAATATATTTATTTAATATAAAAACTTCAAAATTATCAAATCATTAGATAATTTTGAGGTTTTAACCCAGTTTTAAAGGCTGTGAAAGTTTACCTTTCTTATGGTTTAGAAAGTCTCCACCACTGACAACTCATAACGTTTTTATATTATATAAATATATAGAAATATGGAATATCTTGTTCTTGTGTTTAAGTAAGCAGCAGGACTATACCAAACTTTCTGTAATTTAAACAGCTTTCATTAAAGGACAATGGTTATGTAAAATTCACTGTGAGGAAACATTACCCCATCAGAATGATAACCAACAGTATAATGTTACTTCCATTGAAAGCCAGATGTTTATCAAAGACGCCCCGAGACTACACAATAACGAACTGCTCAGATTCCTTGGAAATACTCTTCCTTACAACTGGCACAATCATACAATGTAACTCTCATGGTATCAACAGCGTGCAATAACTGAACTTTGAGTTATAGCACTGGGAAACACTCCAGTCTGGCTGCAGGCAGTACCAACAGTGAATACACTGCAAGAAAAACGATAAGGATATCTAAAAGATCACCTCTATTCACTGTCTCATTGGATCAAAAAGAAAACGGTAAAATAAAGAGGCTGTTTGTTTTTACAGCAAATCTCTTTGAAATGTAGTCTATAATGAGGAAGTAGTGTTCAGTATAAAGCAATCTAATGTAGTGCTATTTCACAGACCCATGTTGACCTTAAATACTGCACACGATTTGGGTCTTCAAGATTGATAACTTAAGAGTTTGTCACAGACAATTAGAAATAAACAAGGCATAAAAATAGAAGATGATAAGTGTTCTGTTTCTTATTTTTCCGCTGTACACAAACACCCAGACTCAGCTGTGTGGAACAGACCTAACCACATACTACCACAAACTGTGACTGCTTTTAGCTGAAAAGATTCAAAACAGTGGGCCTTATTTTCCCTCTTAAATTGACTGAATTAGAGAATAACAGGAAACCCAACATATGGTAGGTAGTTGATCAACATCATAATCAGCATAGAACTTTTCACTGCATTACATCTTTTTTTATTTTTTTTAGAATGAGGCCTATGTGTAGCAATCAAATACAACCTATGCGTATCAGAGTTCCTAATATATTCTTATTCAGTTCTGTAGTCCTCTAACAAATGCTGCCAGTGTGAAGCTTAAAATCGAAAAATGTTAACACTATGGACTCACAGTGAGCTTTGTGAACCCAATGCACAGTGGGACTAGCAGTTAAGTGCACATGCCCAATGTGTCAGTGACATGCCAATACTTTTTTGGTAATTTGGTGGCCTTTGAGGTTATTAATGAAGAGACGAAGTGCCAAGTTTGACTCTCACATAAGAGGTGTCTGTGGTTATTTTACAACCGTCTGGTGCTGGTTACACAAAATTTAACCAGCAGATCTACTATGCATGATTGTGGCTTGACAATGCACATTATCATTTAGAGACTGAGAACTAAACAGATACCTGCTGTCTTCAGATGGTTGGAAATAAAGTAACTACGGTAAAGGAAAGACCAACAGATAAAAGACATGGATGTCAACCACTCATTAATCTTTATTCTGTCTTGCTGGCAACAATGCCATAATAGCAATAAAACTGTATCCTATTTTTTGTGTTTTATCAGCTGGTTGAAAAACATAGAATGAAAGTGCACCAACACCAAAACAGAGCACTATGTCAGGCCTTATTAAGCTTTTTCCAAAACTCTTCATTAATCTAATCTAACTCTACACTCACATAGAATTAGCAATATATCAGACCCAAAACCTTAATATAAAGACAGAGTGACCCCATGTAAAAAAAAACAAGGTTGAGAAACTAACTTGTATCATTCAGCACACCAACTGATACAGAGAGAGAAGAATTAACACCCTCTTGACAGTCTCAACAAAAACTGAACAACATATAAACAACATTTACAATAAACATTACTTTTCAGAAGAAAATATCCTGTACAGCTATTGTATTAGACTGCATTACCTTGTACAGGAGTCGCTGTTATGACGTTGCTGCTCACTCTACAGAGTCTCAGTGACGTCATTATCTCTACTCATAATAATAGTTTCTGCTGTGCTGAGGTGAGTGATGCACGTCAGTTAGTGCATCAGTCTGTGCAATCAGGGCAATGGCCCATTCACATTTTTTACCCCCTGATGGTTTGTGATCTATTCACTCCTCTGTTTGTTCTCAATGGCCATGTGAGCAGACAACTACGGGCTTTCAGGTCCGATCAATTACATCCTGACCGTGCAGCACAAGTCAATCACACTAAGCAGCAGCCTGCTCTGTAGCCTGTAGATCATGGAAGAAAAGAGGAGTGAATACAGGATCATGTGAAAAAGAGCCTGACTGAACCGAGTGAAGAAAACAGGATGAGGAAGAGGTGCAAATGCTGGAGCTTTAAGACCTCCGTCTTGTTTCCTTAAACTGGTTATAAAGAGTGACCTCTTTCTCTTGATGATTAGAGTCCTTGTTCTTTGCTAAAAGAACATCTGCTTGGTCACTCTCGGACAAAACATGTACTGAAAAAGAATTATGTTGGATTTACAACACAATAATGAAGATGATATTAAATCTCACCAATTTCCTTAACCACAGAAACATGACACATTAAGATTCTGATCATGATCACAATCATAATGTGTTTGTGGTTTGTGAGACAGAGTAGGAGATGGTCTAGTTAAACCATCTTGATGCCAGAAAATTCTACACTGAGTGAACCTGAAAACCACAGATTGTGCGCTCACGTCATCTGATGCTCGAACTTTCAAAGAAACACTGCACAGACAGCAATAACAAAACACGACCACTTGAGCAAACACTGCCTTAGTTGTGTTTAGTATGACACAGGTTTGGTGATGACTGACAATCAGTCATTGTAGAAGTTCCATCACAGATGAAATCTTCTTTTTAAAATAAGTAGTAACCCTAACCTGTGGGTCATCATAGCATCAAAATGATTCCACTATGAGATACTGATACGTAGTTATGCCCAATCTATATATGACCCATTCATACAAGACTGTTGTTACAGCTGTTATTTGCCATTATTAAATCAAATGTAAAGGTCAGACCAGTATACAAGCCCTGCTAAACTGAAACCATGTGAGACAACACATGTTTAACAATTCAGCTGCATGTTTCAACTACATTGAAAGTGAACTGCTTCTGCTCTGTTGACGTGGTGCTTACGGTACATGGCAGATGTAGACAAGAACAGCATTTGAATTACACACACACACACACAGGGCAGGAAAGACAAACACCTCCCATTTGGCGATGAGGTCATAAAAACAGAGCACAGTTGCAAGATGTTGAGATTACCCCCCCTAGTGAGGCTGAGACCAGGCCACCTGCTACAGGAAGTGAAGAAAGTCTGATAAAGGTGAAATCCCCAGTGACTTGAGCTGATGGTGTAGTGTCAAGTTGAAGGCGATGTATTGGCCTAATAGTGGTAATTAACTCTAGCTGTCAGGGATGCTAGCTGTACCAGGTGAGCTACCAGGGCGGCCCTGACAAAGAATTGTCTGAAACACTTTAAACTCAAAAGGATAACACTTTTACCATTAGAGCTGGCACAGCATTACAGTGTAGCCACATTTTTTATATTGCTGTTCATCACATTAGCACTAACCCACGCAGTTATACATGTATTCGAAAATTTGTGAATTTAAATATATATTTTTAGCTGTCTAAGGCAATAATGGATTAGTCACATATACACAGTATTATCTAAATATCCATAAGACACTCAACATAAACACCACACTCATACAAAATATAACTGTATAATACTTGAGTCCCAGGGCTGATGGGACATTTTGTTAGCTCATGTGTGAAACTCCTGTGGGTAGTTCAACGGTTTACAGCCTTCAATCTAAAGGCCACTGCCTACTGTAAGTAATAAACAGCATATTTGTAATGGAACATTTTCAGCCACCGCGTATGAACTAGTGCACTGTGCACTGTGCAGAAAGTTACTGTTTGCAAGGTATAGTCTAAAGTGTTTGCGAGTGTATTTGTGAGTTTGTATTAACTTACTGGTTTCCAGATTGCATAGGGCAGTGTATGCTGTATCCAGCCTGCTGAGGGTAGGGTCCCCAGGAACCAGAGGAGGCGTATATTGAACTCTAAAACAAAACAAAATGAAAATCTGTCATACTACAAAAAAAAACAGCATAGAAATATAACACTAAACCATGCAATAGAGCTTTCTCATAATATTAAAACCTTCCAGTGATGAATGTTGTGGCAAAAATACAGCAAACAATACTCATATCAAACTTTATTTGGTATCTTATTATCTTATATTTAGCACAAGAGAATGCCATCACCACCACAACACCAGTGCATTCTCCCATGTGCTATAGTATTAAACTATGTATAGGACATTCATATCAACATCAATCCACATCTTTGCACTACAGGGTCTATGGAACTACAAACTACATGTAAGTGATGATAGAGCGACTCTGACTCATCTAACTTTTTTCAGTGTAATAGTACTGGATTGTAAATGGACTGTTTAGCCAAATAAAGAAACCTATTTTGACCAATCATCTCTTCTGGGCAGATAGTTTCAGTTTCAATTAGCTGAGGTTTTGAGAATTTTTTTTGAAATTCTGTGGTAACTCCACTATGGAATTTGTGAAATTTTATTAGGTGGTGTTCAAGGACTATTGAGACAATTTCTTTGGAAGAGATTACTTCCTATTAAATTTGAAACTGGGTTTATCCAAATGTAATTTTTCAATAATGTAAACATTTCTCTATATAACAATTCACAATTCTGGAAAACTAATACCAGTCACTTCCTTTCTCATACATTTCTAGAC